TAAATTTTCGTGTAAGCATGCCCTGGAGAATTCACTTTGAAAGCATAAGAAAATGAGTGGGGGAGGGGGGGGGGTGAAAAAAAACTTAAGTATAAGGGAACTTTTCATCTCTCAATTACAAAAGTTTTCGAGTGTGAACCATTTCTATTTCTTATTTTCAAAAAAAAAAAAAAAAATAGAAGTGAATTAATTTTTTATATTTAAAAAGGCTTTCGTACTTAAGTAGTAAATAAGAATAATGAAAAAAAAATTTTATTGTTAAAAAATACTTAAAAAGAATTTTTTTATTTTTCAATTGTTATTTATTATTTATTTATAAAAATATCATGTGTGTGTGGATTAAATAGAAGACACCAACACAGTGTAATACTTCATTAGATATTTGCTAATAATGTCAGTTGTGCAGGGAATTCTAATCAGAATTAAATTACGTCGAGCGACGTGAGCTCAAACGAAGAAACTTGCCATAGGTTTCAAGAGCGAAACCACCTTATACACATTAGCCGGGAATCACAAACTATCGTCGAAACTTGCAAAAAGTATTCATGTTTATAACTTTATTGAAACTTGAATCTTCTGACTAATTAATCAAAACTTCTTTTAATCACAAATTTAAAGAGAGACTACTTTAAATATTTTTTACGAAAATTTATTTCTACATTCTCGAAAACATAGTGTGAATAATAAAAATGAGAATTTTTAATTTAATTTAATTTAATTTAATTTTTGCAGTAGTAAGGGTATATTATAGTCAGACAAGTAATTTTTTCCTCTAATAACAGTAGGGATGGTAATTTTTAGTCAGACTTGTATTTATCTTAATACCAATTCAAAAGTTTTGTTATTCTTCGACATGGTCAGTAGTACAGGTCAATTTTAGTCAGACAATTATTTTTCTCATAATAAGTAGAAAAATCAGTAGAGAAAGAAATTGTCAGAAGTTTTCTTATTCTTTGTTACGTTTAGTAGGAGAGGTCAATTTCAGTCAGACAAAATAAATAATACTTTAATAAGTAGTAAAGGTAACTATTGGTCAGACAAAACTATTTGATTACCGGTTTACTAAGACGTAATTTTTTAAATTAGTAGTAAAAGTCAGTCTTTGTGGAATCAGTAGTACAAGTTGATTTTAGTCAGACAGATAGTTTCTTCCTATAAATATCAGTAAAAAAAGGTCATTTTAAGTCAGTTTTGCGTTTATATATTATTTATTTAATACAAAACTTTTATTATTCTTTATTACAGTGGAATCAGTAGTTCAGGTAAATTATAGTCAGACAAATAATTTTTCCCCTTTAAAATAGAAGAGATGGTAATTTTTGCCAGACACGCCTTTGCCTTATTCGATAAATCAGAAGTTTTCTGATTCTTCCCTACTGTCAGTAGTACAAGTCAATTTTAGTCAGACAATTATTTTTCTCAAAATAAGTAAAGAAAATCAGTAAATTTCTAATTTACAAAAATAATTTGAAATACTAATAATTTTGAAACTAATAAAAAAAATTTTTCATTTTTTTTTCTGTATATATATAACACGATGTCGATTTTCATTCATGACACGCGATGATGAGTCTCTTCGGAAATGAGGACTTGATTCGAGTAAATAGGCATTTTTAAAGAAGTTGTCAATTTTAAATTGGTTGGAAATCCTGTTTGATGGATGAGCTGTGATGGTACGGTCATAAAAAGAAAAAAAAATACTAAAAAAGCGAAAAAATAAAAAAATAAAACGAGAAAAGGAATCGAATTGCTGGATTGCCTCTAACGTTTGATCACCGAAAGTCAAAGTACAAATGTCCCTAAGGATGTGCTCGTTAATCACCGATCGCGTTTGGCCGAAGGGTGACACGCCATCGGATAAGAGTCGTTGCAGGACATTTTAATATGCGCAGCTGCACACAGCGATATGATATTGCGCGCACGTTGCATAAGATCTCTCACTGAAATGAGAGAGACGACACCTTTCGACCTCCAAACATGGTGTCTTTATATTATCCTTTTTGACCTCGCCTATATATTATATATACAATTTGCATATATACACATGTTTGCTGTGTGACAATTTTTTTTTATTATTCAATTATATAAAAGAAGACAATTTTTTTTTTATTGAAATATTGAAAATTTTTACTTAGATGATTAAAAAAAAATTTTACCTCTAACAGATACAAATGTTACTTCATCAGCGAAATTTTCTAGTTATTTTAGTTTTTTTAATTAGACAAAATTTATATTCGTGAAATAATATTTTTCAACTTTATAATTATTGTGTAATTAAATTTTACATTTGATTCATATGACAAATTTTAGACAAAAATTATTTATTCCATTTAAATATAATATACAATTTATTTAACTTACTAACGGCTCGAATCAGTGAAACTATTCAAAAATACGTATTTTACGGACCAAAACTAGAAAATTATGGACCAATTATTGACAAAAATATAACCAGTCCGAGTCAAATAAGAGAACATTTTTTTTTTTTTTTAATTAAAAATGGCAAATTAATAAAATCAATATTTTATATTATCAAAATATTGTACTGCTTCAAAATTATTTTCATCATTTCAATTCAATTATTATTTTTTAGAAATTTTCCACTAAAATTTTTCTCTAAATCAATTAATTTTCAAAAAAAGTTCTACAATTTTCAAAATCCATTTATTTACAATATTCAATTTTACAAATTTCAATTATTCGTAAATTCTTCAATTAAATATATAATATTAGAAAATAAAAACTTCAAATAATATGAAAAAAAAATCAATTACACTTTTTCAAAAAAATTAATTTAAAAATTCAAGCTATATTGCTTTTAATATTCAATTATTATTATCTAAAATTTTAACTGAAATTCATATTTTAATCAATTTCTATTAGAAAATTCTACTAGAATTCAATTATTTAAATACAAAAATTTTAATTTCATTTCATTTATTGTAAACGGGTTACAAGAAATAATTTATTGAATAAGTTTCTTAAAATTCAATTCTCATAAAGAATTTTAACAACAAATTTTTATATTTATATTTTATAGACGAATTTTAATAAAATTTTAAAGAATCATCACATTTTTCAAGAAATTCAATAAAAATTGTATTTAAAAATAATTGAAATTCTGCTATGAGTTTTAATATTTGTGAAAATAATTGATTCCCTAAGAAGAATTCTATTATTTTTGAACAAAATTTAATTATTGCGAAGAATTTTAATACTTTTGAAAATAATTAAATTTCTGCAATAATGTGTAAATTTTCCAAAATTAAATTTTTTTTCTTGTTTTACTAAAATTATTCTATAAATGCATTATTTTTTTAAAATAATTTTTGAAAAAGTTCTTTGAGAATTTTTGAAATTCATTTGTTATTTACAATTCGAGGAATTTGATTAAAATAGCATTAAAACTAATTAAATTTCTGTTATGAGTTTTATTATTTTTGAAAATAATTGAATTCCTAAAATGAATTTTATTATTGACGAAAATAATTGAATCCCTGTAAAAATTTTATTATTTATGAAAATAATTAAATGATTACGAAGAAATTTATAAAAAATTTGGAAATAATTGAATTCCGGTGAAATTTTTATTATTTTATGAAAATAATTAAAATTAATTAAACAAAATAATTAAATGTTTGCGTAGAATTTGATTATTTTTTTTTTTAAATAATTGAATTCTTTTGATAAAATTTTATTAAAATAGTAGATATGAAAAATCATTGAATTGAGGAAAATTTTTCAAAAATAATTGAATTTCGGAGAAGAATTTACCAACATATTTTTAAATAATTGAATTCTTCGGACGATTTTTAATAAAATTTTTTAAGAATAATTATATTTTCCAATAAATTCGATTAAAATTTTATTAGAAATAATTGAAATTCTGCATTGAATTTTATTATTTATGAAAATAATTGAATTGCTAAGAAGAATTTTACTATTTTTTTAACATAATTAAATTTCTACGAAGGATTTTATCTTGAAATCAATAGAATTTCTGAAATAATTTGTAACTTCTTCAAAATTAAATTTTTCTTTAGTGTTAACTAAAATTTTTCTCTAAATCCATTGTTTTTAATAATTTTTGAAATATTTTTTTGAGAAAATTCAAATTCATTTGTTTTTAATTGAAATTCATTTTTAATTATTAATAATAATTAATTGTTAAAAATAATTAAATCCCTGTAAGAATGTTATTGTTTATAAAAATTACTGAATTATATTACGAAGAAATTTGCAAAAAATTTGTAAATAAAATTGAATTTCTGTGAAATTTTTATTATTTTAGAAAAATAATAGCTACTCTCTAAATCTGAATATGTGAAATTTCACTTATTGTACGTTATAAGTCGTCCTCTCGATCAATAAGTGCATATACACTTATAAATAAGTGAATTTTTCACTTATTCTGAGTGAAATTTCACTTATTATAAGTGTATATGCACTTATTGATCGAGAAGACGACTTATAACGTACAAATATGTGAATTTTCACATATTCAGATTTAGAGAGTATTGAAAATCACTAAATTTAGGAAAATTTTTGAAAATAATTAAATTTCGGAGAAGAATTTAATGATTTCTAAAAATAACTGAAATTTTGACAAGAATTTAAAAAAATTTTTAAACATAATTGATAAAAATCGATTTTAAATTTTAACATAAAAATTTTCGAATATTTCTCAAGTTCATGGATAAACATTCTAAGCAACATAATTTATTTCCGAGTTTCTACAAGAGTATAGAGAGAGAGAGAGAGAGAGAGAGAAAGTGGAGAGAGAAGAGAAACTTAAAAAGATATAAATATATATTAATTTTATTCGTCTAGTGGAAAACATGAAGATTAAATATTTAAAGTTGAATCCCTTTTGTCGTGTCCTTTGATGTTTTTCCAGTGTCAACATTTTGTGAATTTAAAAGGATACAAAGAATTTTAAATCACACGTTGCACCTTAAACACTCGACTTTAATAATAGATTTATTCTCTCCTTTTTACAGACGTACCGGATGCACCTGAACGTCCAATGGTGAAATCGTTTACCTCCCGTTCAGTTGAACTCTCCTGGGCTCCAAGCGCAAATTTTCACAACAATCCGATTTCACATTATGTCGTTTATGTCCGGTGAGTTTTTTCTCTTCCTTTTTTCAAATACAAATAATACTTTTTTTTTCCTCCAAACTCTTATATTTATTTTTGTAAATTGGATTGTCTATATATTCTTCTTCTTCTTCTGTTTTTATATACTTTTTATACAGAGTGGGGTGAAAAGAACCAAAGGTCAAAAAAGCCATTTGGGTTTTATGTTTAAAACTATATTGAAGTGTTTTATTAGTCATTTATAATATACATTTAGTTAGGTAACACACAACTTTTGATTGTAGTTTTGATGTTTTTTTAAAAGGCCATAGGTAACGTCAAAGGAAAAAAAAGATCTAGACAGGGGTTACTTTTCATATTTTTTTTAAAAGCAAACTAAAATATCAAAAAAAGGTCCTTTATTTTTAATTTATTTAACTAATTTAATAATAATTATCAAAAGGAATAATTTATTAATAATTATTAGAATTAATTAAGTTATGTGTGTGGTAAATGAAGAAAAACTCTAAAAAGTGAAATTGTTAATTCTAATAAATATTTTCAAATTTATAATCAACTACATTAAAAATAATTTTAGGCCTGCTTTTAAATAATTTTTACGATTCCACTGAGAAATTTTTTTCTTAATTCAAAAATAAGTAGCCAACCAAGAAAATATATTTGAATTCAAGAATTAAACATATTTTATAATTGAATTGAACATAATTTTTAAACTATACATTTTTTATTATAAAATTTCATATTTTATTGTTCCTATTTTTTTAACTCAATTCTCTATTTAGTTTCTATTTTTTATATTCTAGTTTCTCATTTTCATTTCTATTTCAATTGCTATTTAAATATTCCCATAATTTTTGTTGGAATTTTATTTCAAATCTTTTGAATTTACAGTAGTAATGGTCAATTTCAGTCATACAAAGTTAACATAATTTTCATAAAGTAGTACAAGTATAGATTTTTGTCAGACGAAACGTTTTTAATTTTTTCACTAAACTTTTTGTTAGAATTTTGAAAAAAGAATTTTAAATTACAATTTTTTAGCGTAAAAATTAAAAAAAAGTGTCTTTTTCACCCCACTCTAATATTATAATATTCAATATTAATTGAAATCGTTCGTGCATAAAAAGTAAATTCTTAAAATCTTAAATTCAGTATCAATATTTTTTTTTTTTGGTCTTTGATGTGAACATTTTTTTTTTTCTTCTCTTTTTTTTTGTAAGTTCATGTTTCTAGAATGCAACTGCACTTAAATTTTTTTGCAATGGGGAAAAAGAGATCCGTTGATTGTCGGGATTCATTGAAACGGTACTCAATCTCATGTCAGGTACAGATCAAAGTCTGAAAGGGAGTCACTACCACGATAACGTTGGCTTAACATTGATGAAGATTCGTGAGATCCATTGGTACATTGTGTGACAAGGAGATTTACAAGGTTTTTTTTATTTTTAGAGAGAGGATAAAGAACAAGTGATACGACCTGTAATCACTCAATAGATATTCATCATCGAGAATAGAAAACTGAAAAAAATTTCCATTTTATTTCTCTTTTTTCCCCTTTATTTCAATATTAATCTTCGAAAATCAAATAAGAATAAATCAATTGATATTTTTTTTCTAAATTATTGTTTCGTGAGATAATATTTTATTTCCAATACTTTGAACAAGAGTGGGAAAAAAAAATTTCATTTCCCTTTGGGGAAAATTGTTACCTAACCGAAAACTTTCAATATAAAAATTCATTTCTATTTTTTAATATTTTTTATCTTTATTTATTTTCAAACTTTATTAATTTATTGTTTTCATTGTTTTATTTATTTCCCTCTTAGAAAATTATTACCAAAAGTACATTCTTCTTTATTTATTTACAAATTAATTTATATTTTATTAAAAAATTTTTTTTTCTTATTGTTAATAGTAACTAAATAAAAGGTGACATTGTATACAATTTTTTTATAAAATAAAGTTAACTTAAGGGAATGAGGTAAATTGAATGAAATTAAATTGATAAAGCTAAAAATTTTCTTAATTATTGATTTGAAGAAATATTTATGATAAAGAAGAAATTATATCTATTAAAAAATGTTTAAAATATAAATAGCTAAATGTCGTAAATATGTTATGCATAAATTATACAAAATGTTGTAAACATATTATGAATACTATGAATATATTACAAATGTTTCATATTTCTTATGCCAATTTTGTATACATTATAAATGTTTTTCATATATACGTTATGAATGCTATGAATAAATTACAAGTATTGTAAATAATACACACTGGATGATTCAAGATTTCTGTAAATATGAAAAATGAGCATATTTACATTTATATTTACTAAACAAACATAAAAAAATGAAAATTAGTAGAAATTTCATACTCCTAGCTTTTTATAATAAATTTTTTTTATCCAATATTATTTACTTTTTACTAAAAGAAATATTTTATTTACTTTTTATTTTTTTTCCTTTCTTTTTTATGCATGTTTTATTTACTTTTTCTTCTCTTTCGTACTTCGTTAATTAACTTTTAAAGCTTCTTTTTATTTACTTTTTCTTTATTTCTTATTTCAATTTTTCTATTTACTTCTTATTGTTAAAATAACTATTTTTTTAAATTTCAATATTGTTCACTTTTTGCTGAAAAAATGTTTTTATTTACTTCTTATTTCTTGCTTTTAAAATTTTTTTTATTTAATTGTTAATTTCAACTCTATTAAATAATTAATGAATTATTTAATTATTAACTTTAAAAAATAATTAACTAATAATTTCTCTCTGTGAATTAAATTGTTAATTTTCTTTACTTTTTCAGTTTTTTTATTTGAAGCGGTTTTTTATTTACTTTCTCCTTATTTGGTGTTTCAATTTTTATCTTAACTTCTCAGTTATTTATTTATTTTAATAAATATACTTATTTATTTCTTTTTATTTTTTATTAATTTCTTCTTTATTTAAAGCTATATAAACACTTATTCTTAACTTAATTTTCACCATTTGTTTTTTTTTTTAATATTTCTCGAACTACATGCTTTGCTTATGAAAATGAAGCTTATCTCGTTTGAAACTAGTTAAATTTTGTTAATATCAATCGCGCTTGTTTTGTTCTAAAATGCTTACTTAGGTAGAAAATATTATTTTGCCCCAAGGTTATTTTAACAGCGTTGATATACAGCATAAATTTCTCCAATTTTATGGGAATAATTATTATTTAGAATTTTATCCATTGCATAGAAAACACGAGAATAAATGCATAAATAGTGGAGAAAAAAAATGTTTTTCTTTCTCATTAATATCAGTTTTATCTCCATTTACTCGTAATTAAAATAATTTACAGTGAAAAAAATTTTTTATTGTGACTTTAAATAATTTACAATAAAAATAAATTTTCACTTGGAATTAAAACAATTCTTTTTCTTTTAATTTGAATTTTTACAATAAAAATAATTGTTTCCTGATATTGAAGTATTTTTTCAATAAAATAAAATTTCTACTCGGAATTCAAAAAGAATTTAGAATAAAAATCATTTCTACTCGAAATTTAAATTTAGCCGATATGCAATGAATTTACAATATTTAAAAATACTTGTTTCAGGAATTAAAATAGCTTACAATAAATATTTTCAATCAAAAATTTTAAATATCGAAATATTTAATAAATAAAAGAAAAATAGGAAATTAAATACCTTAGTATCGGTGCAATCAATTTATTTTAAAGTGTAAATAAAATTTTCTTTTCAGCAGAGTAAAATATTATTTTAATAAGTAGTACAAGGAGATTTTTGTCAGGCAGAATTATAAAATTTTAATCCTTAAAATAATTTTTTTTTTATTATTTTCTATTTTGAATTTTACTAAATTTCTCATTTTTTGATTTTTATTTTCTAATTTAGTTTCCAACATATTTCTATTTCAAAGTGGAAAAAAAATTTTTCTTTTTATCGAATTCAGTAAAATTTGCATTAAAACTTTTGTTTAAAAACAATAATTGACTTTTTTGCCTTTTATTTATTTTTATTATTATCTACTTTTTCTAGAAAAGAATTTTCAGTAGTTTTTGTATAGTAATTATCGAAGGTTTCTCTCTCTCTCTCGTAACAGCAGAATTTTCTGAATGCGATGTTCTTGCGAGAATAGAAGTTCGACCCGCTTCAGTTGCGCGTTCGCTATAAAAGTTCAAATTGCTTCGGTTTTGAAACCGACGAGTGGTAAAGCCAGATAAGTGTGCGGCCGCGACGAAATTTCGGACGACGGATAAAACTCGATTGTCCTGAATTCAACGAGAGTAAAAAAGAGAAAAAGAGTCGAGAGAGAGAGAGAGAGAGAGAGAGAGAGAGAGAGAGAGAGAGAGGACAAGAGAAAAAGCAAAAGCAAAGTCTCGAGAAAGTGCGCGCGAAAGGAAAATAGCCAAACTATGAACGAAGTAAGGCTTTTGTAATATCTGACTTGAATACATTCACAGGTGGAGCATCTTAGTTTAGGTAAAGAGAGGGGTGGGGGGGCACTTCTCCGGACATTGACTATAAAACCGGAAGTACTAGAGAAACGGAAGTACCTGAAATAAAATAAAGAAGAATAGGTGGGGAGAGAGAAAGAGAATAAGAAAGATGAGTAAAGAGGGAGGGATGGGGGGGGGGGGGTAAGTGAGAGGAAGAGAGGAAAAGTGGAGGAGAGGAGGAAGGTAAGAGAGAAGAGTTAGTGTTGCTAAGAACTACAGTGTCGATAAGTACCTTTTGTTCTATACTCGCCTCTCCACAGTCTGTTATCTCTCCCCCTTACATTTTTTTTACCCTTTGTTCCCTCCTCTATTCTTTCCACTTCTATGTAAAAACTTGCACTGTGGGAAAAATTGTTTTCAAAAAGTATTAATATCTTTATTATTATTATTTCTTTTATAAAATGAACGGCGAGGGAAAAATTGTTTAACACAATTTTTGAAGTAAAAGGGAATTTAAAAGCAACATTTTAAAGAATTTATTATATAAAACATTTATAGGAAAAGATTTTTTAACATTTTCAAACATT